AGAAGCAGTATTTATGTTTCTACTTATTTCAATCTCTCAAAAATATTATAGCTCATATGACTGTAGACAATAAAAAGCAAGGAAAAAGAATCATGTGAATATCTTTTCTCTATAAAGTAAAAAATGCAAAGACCAACCTGCAGATGTTATTGAAGCAAAATAAAACTTCAAACTTCAAAGGTCTATTAGACTTTTTAGAAGTAGGACTACATTGATTTTACATTTGTAACATGAGTAAAGAAACAAAAAAACTGCATAACTGTATAAAAAAAAAATTGGTAGGTTTTCTCTGCACAATCTAAAGTAATATTTAGTTATTTATTCTTTTATCATGGATAAAGAGTTACCCACTTCAATAATAATATTGGAAATTATGCCAAAAAATTCTTAGAAGATTAGTAAGCCATGAAATTATATGTAAAATTGATGTAATAAATGATAGACATTAGGTCGGATTAAGGATTCATATCACAAAAAATACACTAATGTACCAACCACCACAAAATCTCTTAAATTGCTAAAAATGGTACTTCCAACTCTTGAGATATCTCTTGATCATTAAAGAGTGAATTGATAAATTTGGCCAGATCCTAATATTGATCTACAATGCAATCCACTAACTATGCATGCATGCAACACCCTTAATGGCTTCCTGTCGCAACTGAGCTCCTAGGGTCATTTCTTTGATTCCAAAGTTTGAACCATTGCTACCAATTCAATATAAACTTGTTAAAGTGTAATTCTGCCAACCTCTGCAATCTCTATATATCATTATATCCATAAGAATACTCCACGCAAAGCTTCATAACCTTCATCTCCCTCCATCTCCTTAATAATAAGTTAAATTCGATTATCCTTCTAACTAAGAAAATGTCACTCTAAATGAAGGAAAACAAAAGAAACAACTACTAAAATCTTTATGCAGTATTTCCATAATTTAAAACTTCAATGGAAGAAAAATATTTTACAATAACCCATGCCTAATACAAAATTATTATTACTTTCCAAAATTAACCAAACTGACTTAAGCATTTAAGATGCATTTTTCATGGAAATTTTCCATCATTTTCTCATCAATCAAATAGGACCAAATGAAAACAAAGTAAAATAGCGAGCAAACTCTAAAAGTAGAGGAAAAGATTTAAACAAAGCTTACATGAAAAAATATTGAGCTAGTCTTGGAGATTCTTGAGAGCGATCCTTATTGCATTGAGACTCTTCACCTCCATTCTGACACAGTCATTGTCATCTTGGTCTTGCAGTCCTTAACGAACACTAATTTGGCCTGGTTTCCTACACCGGCCACAACTGCAATATCATGAAAAAGGAACATGTAGACTATAAAAATTACCAACACAAAAAAAAAAAAAAGAAGAAGAAGAAGAAGAAGAAGAAGAAGAAAAAAGATGAATGGAAGAATTCTTATTTCTAAATATGATAGATGGGCCTTAATAAGAAAAACCTTAAACGTTCTCTAGATGAATACAAACTAATAATATATTTCTTGATTCTAATTCATGAGAATATTTTCTAATGGTTTGTAAATCTTAAATATCTCCATAAAGCTTTTATGTAGGTGGTAATCTTTGACTATTCCTCATTTATATATTACCTTTCTCCCTCTCCTTTCATCAGAAAAAATACATATATGATTTTACCCCACTTAGAATTTCAAACACTTCAACTAATTTTCAGTACCTTTTTATTATCTTCAAGCTTCTACTTTTCTATATGTACCGAATGCACTATATTCAACAGTTTTCAAATAAAATTTCAAACATCTTGTTAATTCCGCAACTGTCTCATTCTATTTCTCCACCTTTTCCCTTCTTCTTCTATTGCAATTCTATCTATTAATTTGTATAATTTCCACTACAGTCTGTAAAGTTCAGGAACTAACACTACAAGAAAAAAAGCTTATTATCTGCATTTGTTAAGGGATTTACCTGCATTTTTAAATGCAAGTAAAAAGGTTACCAGCATTTGCATAAATGCCACACAAATGCTGGTAGAGGTGGAGCCAGTAAAACCATACCTCATTTTATATAAATGCTGGTATAAACTTCTTTTCCCCTGCATTTATTAAAAATGCAAGGAAATGACATTAAAAAATGCAAGTGAAATCCATGGAAAAGTCCCAAATAGCTAGTGTTTTTACTTGCACTTTTTGTCAAATGCGGGGCCTCTTTTTTTTTTTTTTTTTTTTTTTTTTGGCTTCTCACTATTTTTTGTCACCAAAACACTACCTATTTGTTGACAGAACCATTTAATATCAAGGACAATTAATCAAACCAAATATAACATCAATTAATCAAAAATCTACACAAAATTGACATATCATTGAATGCTTAATTTTTTCATATCTAGAGAAAATATAATAATAATATCCAAATGTTTAAGTCCTAAAAACAGAATACACCACTTAAAAACAGAATACACCAATGCTATCCCCAAAAAATGATAGAAAATGATATCCAAATAGCATACAACCATGTCTAAGAGTATCTAAAAGCTTGAGTTGCCATATTCAAACACAAAATAACTAGAAAATAACATTTTTGCTACTAACACTTAAAGTCACTGCAATCTTGAAATTTTCATATACAAATGCTTTACATTGCTGCCACCAATAGCATCATTACTTTAAGATGCATCTGGAAAGGTTGGCACTCCTTGTTGACCCTAAAATGCAAACAAGATACATTTTGGCACAAGCAGGATTAGTTTGACAAAGCACAACTTTGAAACTCATGTAACACTACAGAAGGCAAACAAGAAACAATTTTGAAACTACTGTAACGTTTTGGCATCAAATTCCTATCCCAGAAATCTAATAAGGGATTCAAGGTGTACCATCTCTTGCCATTTCTTTGCCATGTCTTTCTCAATGTGTTCAGAATTGCAACTGAACCCATAAAACAACGCCTATCACAATTTAAGAATTCGATACTGACTTCTTCAGTTAAACAAGGATCTGGATTACTAGTGGAAACATAATTGATGATTACTAGTGGAAACATAATTGATGAGCTTGCAATTTAGACAATGACTAAACTACTATTATAATCAAACCAAAAAGCAAAACAACGTAGAAATA